ATATGACTTTAGCAACAGAGGCTGGAGTGATTTGAATGTCTAACAATGGGTCAACCTGTTTGACTGGAATGGAAGGAAGAGAATGTCCATAAGATTCAAGAGTGGAATTAGAAGAAAAGTTCTTTGCAAACAGTTCTGCCTTATCCTTAGGAGAGGTAACAAGATCAGTCCCATGAATGAGAGATGGAATGTTAGATCTACCCTTGTTAATAATGCTGTTGAAGATTTTCCAAAAGTCTTTAGAGCCTAACTTCTGCGATAAGATGCGAGATTTAGTGAACTGAGAATAATGGAGTTTAGCATCAGAAAGCACCTTTTTACATCGATTTCTTGCAATAATAAATAGCCGTTTGTTCTCAAGAGAGTTGTTCTTTTGAAAAAGATGAAAAAAATGGTTAGGATTGGATATAGCAGCCGCACAAGAAGGAGAAAACCATGGAGTAGAATGAGGCTTGACTTGAAACCGACGAGAAGGAATAAAAGCTTCCGTTCCAGCCTGAATCCAGGAGGATTCCAGAATCCAGGATATATATATATATATATATATATATCGGAATCCAGGATATATATATATATATATATATATATATATATATATATATATATATATATATATATATATATATATATATATATATATATATATATGTATATATATATATATATATTTATATATATATATATATATATATATATATATATATATATATTTATATTTATATATATAAATGTGTATATATATGAATATATATATATTTATATATATCTATATTTATATATATATATACGAATATATTTATATATATATATTTATATATATTTATATATATATATTTATATATATTTATTTATATATATATGTATATATTTGTATATATATATATGTATATATATATAAATATATATATATATATGTATGTGTGTATATATATATATATATATATATATATATTTATATATGGTATATATATATATATATATATATATATTAATATATATATATATATATATATATATATATATACATATATATATATATATATATATATATATATATATATATATATATATATATATATATATATATATATATATCAGAATAAACTATATAAGTACTATTAAATAACTCTTTAGAATTATTATATGATGTACTGGAAAAATATCTGGATATTTATATTTAAATATATATATATATATATATATATATATATATATATATATATATATATATATATATATCAGAATAAACTATATAAGTACTATTAAATAACTCTTTAGAATTATTATATGATGTACTGGAAAAATATCTGATATTTATATTTATTTTATAAGAGTTATTGTTCTTTTAGATAATATAAATGAGCTAAAAGAATATGGTTACACAACAGCAGAAGAGGAGTAGGATGAAATAGATAATTGTTTTACAAGTTCTAAAGGAACATTTGAAGTCAAAAGTAATGTTTATGGTATAATTAAGAGTTTGCTTACAATTTATTTTTAATATCAAATGTAAATACAATAACAAAAATTAATTATATAGATATTATATTTTAGAGTTACCAGATTTTCCATTGCTTCCACCAGTTTTGCAATCCATACCAACAAAATCATTTGATTTGATTTTAATTTGTCACCTGGATCAACTATTTTAAAACAATCAAATATTTGCTCTGGCATCTAATAATTATTAAATTATAAAAATTTAGAATTAATTCAATTTGCAACACCTTTAATCTAAAATATTTCTGGATTCTTATTTTTAGTATTGCCTGACTCTTTACCTTTACACACAGAGGAACTATCAACTTCGTATTCTGAGTCACTGCGTTAGTATTATTTTTAAATTTTATAATTAAAGTTTTTGTTTATTAAGGTTGAAATATTATTTTGTTGTTAATTTTAGCTTTGCCTAACTTTATTTTACCTTCAATTCAACTGAAAAGGAACAATCAAATTTTTTTACAGGTTATTGTTTTACATCTAAAAAATGTTGTTTGAAATTTTTTCTTTAATTTTATTTTATTTTTTGGCATTAGTTTCACCTCATACTCAAGAGTTCAAAAAAAAGAAAACAAAAGAAGTACAAAAGAGCCCTTGGACCAGAGAAGTTAGTTAAAAATCAGTTTCTTATGGAAGTTGGAAGTAAGCTCTTTTAACCATTTAATTTATTTTTTATTTGCAATAAAATGCGGAGATTGTGCACACATTTTAATTATTTAGGAATGACTTTTAGACAAAAAACAATTATTGTTGGTCATTTTGAAATTGTATTAATTTTTTTTTTGTATATATATATATATATATATATATATATATATATATATATATATATATATATATATATATATATATATATATATATATATATATATATATATATATATATATATATATATATATATATTATACAATATATAAATATATATATATATATATATATATAATATACAATATATATATATATATATATATATATATATATATATATATATATATATATATATATATATATATATATATATATATATATATATATATATATATATATATATATATATATATATATATATATATATATATGTATATATATATATATATATATATATATATATATATATATATATATATATATATATATATATATATATATATATATATATATATATATATATATATATATATATATATATATATATATATATATATATATATATATATATAGTATAATTTAGAATACCAGCATATGATGTTCAAGATGGTATCAAAAATTCTTGAAAACTAATCTATTATTGCTGTAAATAAACAACCCCATAGTATTTTGGCAGTTAAGTAATTAGAGACTATAGCAGAATACAAAGATTTTGTCAAATATTTAGAGGATGATTCAGTTTGCCTTGATTTGGTAAATACTTTGTCTTTACATATTGAAAATATTTACATATTGAAAACCTTGTAAATTTAAAATAATTATTTTAAATAATTTTGTTATTTTGATTTTGATTTTTCTTTATTTAGGTTAAAAAACTGAGTTTTTTAGGCGCAGAAGATTATAAACAGCTGACAAGATTGGTTATGAATATGTTTTTCTAATTATATTTTTATATGAGCAATAATATTTTTTATTTTTCTGTTGTAAATATATATTTTAAGTATAGTAGTTATTGCAACCAATAATTACATTGGGATGGTAAATTGCTTATTTTTCATAAATTGTATTACTTATTCCTTATGTTATATAGATTATTTACAAATACCCTATTGGCACAGTTTAATTTAAAAGGTTCTGGTGAAAAAATTGGTTTATTATCAACGAAGCTATATGATGTAATAGAAGGTAATAAAAAATAGTTTTAATATAATAAAAATTTTTATCATTTAGTATTTGATTAAAAATGTATGTTAAGTTAAAATTAATTTTAAGATTTTTGATAGCCAAAATTTTTTATTTTTTTCCAGTTATTTACCTTCCCAAAGCCCGAGGGGGTCACTACAGTCGAGGAGGCTACTAATTTTTTTTGTTTTTATTGTAAATCGTGGTACAACCCTCTCTCAACTCTTTAACTCCGAAACACGAACCTTGACAAGCAAGGCCGCTGCCTTGAGATGCGATGCATTTCCAGAGATGCGGTGGGAGTCGAACTTCGAGCCTCTTGCATACAAAGCGAGCGCTCTTACCACTACACCGCTGCCGCATAAATTATGTGTCAAGTTAACATTTTATTATTTGGCAAGTATTTGTAAATTTTAATTTATTTTTAGAAGTTGTAACAAGAAGGTTTAGAAAAGTTTCAAATTCTGATATAAGACAGCAAATCGGAAGATATTGTAAAAATGCTCCATCGCAGAAAAATAGAAACTAAAATTTATTTTTTATTGTATATATTATATGTTATAAGCATTGTTATATAGAAAGATACTTTATTAAAATCCATCTTATTGTAATATATTTCCTTTTTAACTTATTTTTTTTTTTAATTTTATGAATTAATTATTTTTTTTTTAATTTATTTTTCCTTTATATTTATGTTTCTAATAAATGCGGCATTAATTTTATCTAAACTAAACACCTAAAAGTCTTCTAAAATCAGACTTCTTGGGTAAAACGCTTTTAAAGCGCTTGGGTAAGACGTTTTTATTTCTGTCTAGAGTAAGATGACTTTAAGCTATCTTGTGTAAGATATCTTTAAGGCGTCTTGAAAAAAATGCCTTTAGACCGTTTATTTAAGACGTTTTAAATCGGTCATTAGTAAGACGTTTTTAATCAATCTTGATTAGACGTCTTTTCGACGGACAACGTAGACCTTTTTTAGATCTCTTTAAGACATCTTTTTTAAAAAGACGTTTTTAAGACAGCTAAAAGATGTCTTTGTTTGCTGGGAAGTCCTTCAATGAAATTCCTTCTCATTGATAGCATTTTAGAAATAAACTTTTTTTTATCAAAATTTGGTGCCATAAATCCTTAAGAAAAACCGAACAAATCTTGTCGCAAATTAAGCGTTATTGAGCCCAACATATACTGTCATAACTTCGGTATCAGTTATAAGGGTCTGCGTCTCAGAACGGTACAAGACGAAACGAAACAAAACGATTAAAAATATCGTTTCGATATAACCGTTACGAAACGAAACAATTTTTATTATTTTTTGCAAAATACGGTACGAAAAGAAATACAATTTTCTGGTTTCGTGATAAATACGGGACACATTTTTTATTTTGAAAAAACCGGTACGAAACGAAATAAGATTAAACTTTTTCCGAAATAAAACGGTAAAAAACGAAACAAACAAACAAGAAATTTCTGAGTTTTACGAGAAATACTAATGTTTTTACGACAGATAGGGCTAGCATAAAATAAAAAAGTAATTTACTTTTATATTGTACCAATTAAAGCACACATTTGCGATTTTTACGAAAAATCAGTTTTTATTTAGACAATTATATTTCACGATTTTAAAATTTCACAATAAAAAGTAAAACATTTTTATTTTAATACTTGTTGAGTGTCACTTTCGGATGTTTTTTCGGATGATGTTGTTTCGGATTCTTCTGGAATTTCCATTGTTTTTCTTTTGATTCCTAAAGATGTTTGTGTTGATGGTAAAGAAGAAGAACATAATGGCGTTGTTGAAACGTTTTTTGTTTTGAACAATAACCTTTTTTGGTTATTTGAAAAAACTGCTTTAGGAATAGGATTTTTGGGAGGTGTTCTATCTGGAGTTAATGCTGGGGGGTCCAGGGCTTCTTCAGCGTCGCTTATAATTTTCAAGGTCATGTGAGGGCAGACAAGATCATAATTGACTTTAATCAAAGTCAATTGCTTAGCTGTCTGAGTGGAAAGACTGTGTCTTTTATCATTTATAATTCCACCTCTGGCGCTGAACACTCTCTCACTACAGCTTGATTCAGCTGGAATGCAGAGCAAATTTCTTGCCAATTGTGCTAACAATGGCAAAGTAGAGGCATGTTTCTTCTACCATTTCAGCACATCAACTTTATGCTTTTCTTCAACACGAGGCATAGCGTGGAAAGATTCAAACTCCCTTTCATTTTCCGGTACATTTTGACTAATGGTGTGGTTATTATTACCCTGTTCAATCTCTATATTTTGTAACTCGTCGCACTCATCCACACCGACTGGCATTTTAACTTGTGTAGCTTTATGATTATTTTTTTCACTGATCGAAACAGCGTCCGACGATGGATGATCGTTGATGACTTTTCTGGTGAACTCTTCGAAGATACCGTAATGTCTAAGCATATATCCTGAAATCATAAACAATAACTGTTAAATTTAGTCTTTTAACAAATAAAGAATGTTAAAGAATGTTTTTTTTTACCAAGAAATAAAACTTATAACCTCTAAAGTACGGATGAAGAAGGTTTCCCAAGGCATAGTGTTGGTTGTATCTTCCATGTTCATTGAATCGCTTGGCTAGGTGTAAATGCTCACTTAGTTTTTTACAAAAAGCATTAACTATTTCTCTGTTTTCCATATCAATGTGGTCATGAAGAAAATTGTCAGTTTTATAAAGCATAGTTAGCATATGATGAAGCACTGGTTCAGTGTCCTTGGACATGCAATCGGACATAACCTTCATTTTTTTTAAGACTGGCATCAGTGAAGCCATCAGTGAAAATTGGTTGTCACTTGGAATAAGGTTCTGTAGTGGGTTGTTATTTAGTGCATCTTTTTCTCTAAGAGAAATCAACACATCTTTAAGTTTAAGGATTGACTCCAGCATAAAACAGTTAGAATTCCACCTGGTTTTTACCGGAGCAATGATTTTAACATAGTTTACACGGAGCAACATACACTCTTTTTCAATAAGTTGACAAGCTAAGGTGGATCTGTGGACTTTGCTAAATAGTTGTGTGGCAATATCTATGCATTCTTTGATTTCTTGCACTTCATTGGTAGCATGTAGTAGGCTAGTGTTTAGTAAGTGGTCTGCACACAACAGTGATTCATATTTTGTTATGTTCATGATTGACACAGCATGTTTCATGTTTGCCGCCGCATCGTGGACAATGACTTTCTTGGGCACGGCGTCCAATACCGGATATTTTAGGATCATTTCTTCCAGAGCCTTAAACAAGAATGAAGAAAAATTAATGATTTATAAGATAACTTATGCAGCTTTTAGGTTTTACGATAAATTATAAATTCTTTCAATAATTGACAAAATCCTAGAAGAAACGCTATTCTAGCGGAAGGATAAGTTTTACTTTTTCAAATTATTTTTGCACTTACAAATTTATATTTACGAGAACAAATTATATCAACATAAGAAAAATTACTTTGCTAATGTGGTAACCAGTGTGTCTTCCCACGATATTGTCAAAGTTGAGAACATATTTTTTCAGTTCAAACCGACTATTGATATAGTGAAGCGTAAGAGTCATGTATGGATCCTGTGACCTAGAGGTCCAACCATCAGTGGTGATAGCCACCTGTTGACAAGTGAAAACTTCTTTTTCAATTAGGTTTTGCACAGTATCCATAACGCTTTCATAAAGCAATGGCAGCTTGTACCTTGAAAAAGTCGAGGAATGTTTCACAATTACTTTTGGATTTAAATGTTCCACCATTTCTTTGAAGCATGGTTCATCTACTAGAGTGAATGGACTACTTGACCTGGCAATGTATGACATGATTACCATGTCTGTCTCCAATTGCCTGCCTGATTGGGAAGAATATTTCCCAATAGTTCCCCCATTAATACATTTAGATAAGCCTTTTTGTGATCGTTGATCTAAAAAAACGAAATAAAAATTAAAGTTAAACATGAAAATTATCTTTATACAAGGAAAAACATTATTTATGAAAAATAATTAGAAACTTACTGTATGCGTCATTCAGTTCGAAGGCAGCTTCTGTAATTTCTTTAATATCTTCTTCTCTTTGGCGCTCAAGTTCAATTTGGGCTCTTAACATCGTAGCGTAGTCAGTGGGATGCTTTGTTTTCAGATGGTACCTGATACCACTAGTGGATCCATCAGTTAACTTGATTTGGATTTTACACTTTTTACATTCCCCACACTTAACACCTGACACAGTAACTTTATTGAAATAATTCCATAAAATTGTAGCTTTTATAGGCATGATTATATGATTGAGAATTACTATGGTTTTTAAACAATAAATTAATTAGTTTTGCAAAATATTTCAAGTTAACACAACAATATCGCATTTAAAATGTTATATAATATAATTTGAAGTATTTAATTCAAACAATGATTTCAAACTCTTCATGCGAGTTTATAAACATATACATAATTTATGTCTGATGAACTTAAAGTTAAAATTTTATTTCAGTAAAACGGTTTTACTGTAATAAAATTTTAACTTTAAGTTCAGCAGTTTTACTAAAACCTACCTACAGAAGACAATATCTTTTTTTAACTTCGTTAGATGCGCTAAGCCTTATGAAAATGATGCTATTGCATTGCTTTGTTAATACGTTTTTTTAGTTAAACTTTGATTTACGAAACATTGAGTTAGTAAGTATTAAACGTAAAAGTTTATGTACTGCTCAAGGGCATGGGAATCGTGAAATATCTGTTCGGGCGGGGAGTTATGAAATATTCCGTAAAAACCGATAAGAAACGAAACAATTTTATTGTGTTTCGTAAATAACGGTACAAATCGAAAAAATAATTTCACGTTTCGTAACAACATGATACGAAACGAAACAAGATTTACGTGTTTCGTACAATGATATATTAAAAATAACTAGATGTCTAACTTCCGCATATTTTTTGAAGCAAAAATCAGCCATTATGGGGGGCAAAAAAAAATAGTAAGTCACGGTTGTTTGGATCGAATAATATTTAATATTCAAAAATTAGAAATCATGGTTGATTCTTGTGCAGCAGCAGGTTGTACAAATAGAGCAATGAAAAACAACAACAGAGTACTTCATAAATTTCCAATTAGTAATAGCGAACTCTGTAAAAAGTGGATTGTTGCTATAAAACGTGAAACATTCCTACTGAGCACAGCTGCATTTGTAGTGATCACTTTTTACCTTCAGATTACAATATACCTGATTTTAATAACAAACCGCAATTAAAACCTTTTTCTATGCCATCTATTACTATTGATTCAAAACCAAAAGTCAAAAGAAAGTTTAGTCCTATATCGCCACAAACAAATAAAAAGAGACTCATTTAAAAAGTTTCAGAAACAGGCAGTCACCATTACGTCGATTTCTATTCGGATATAAGTTATAACAGTAATGTTGCTGCTAATATTAACACAATTTATATTTTCACAAAAAATATTGGTAATACTTTTTGTGAAAACTTTAGTGGATTGACTTTTGATATTATAAAAATATACTGATGAAATTAAAAAATTTGCAATAACTCTGCATTTTTACTCACCTAAAGCATAAAATTTTCTACGGCCTATACTCCATTCAACTGCTTCAAGCTCTTTAGCCAACTGGACTTCTTTTGTAGATTGTAAAACTGGTTTTTTTTTGAAGATGTTTTAAGTTATATTAATATAAAAGCAGTCGCTGATATTAATTATAAAGATTGTGCATTAATTATAGATGTAATGGTAATCAAAACATCAGTTCTAAGCGATAAAAAGGCAGGTCGATTCATAGGCTTTACAGATTATGGAAAAGATATCGTCGCAGTTGAACCAGATACACCAGCTACAGAAGCATTGGTATTTATGCTGTATTTACGAGGTCATTGGAAAACACCTATTGGCCTTATGCTGTGTAGTAAAATAACAACTGAAAACCTTTCATGTCTTATTAAAACAGCATTAACAATTTCTTCTGATAAAAAAATTAATGTTGTAAAATTACATTTGATGGTGTAAGTGTTAACTTTAATTCTGTTGCATCACTAGGATGTATATTTCGGAAAAGACTAGAAAAAATTAATGGACAATTTACTTTTGAAAGCTATAATCACTACTTGTATGTAATCCCTGACCCAAGTCATTTGCTAAAATTAACTAGAAATGTGTTATGTGATTTAGAGCGACTTACCCAGCAAGCACAACCATACGGGACCCAAACGGGAACCATCCGGGATGTCAAACGGGAACCGTGCGGGATTTGGCCGCGGGATTTACATGGGAACCATACGGGCTAAATAAAAAAAAACAAAAATCGATCGCCTGCTTTTTTATTTCTCCCGCATTGATCCTAGATTTTCCCCGAATGTATTTTGTATTATTTATAACTGTGATTTTTATACTTTTATTTAACGATTACTTGTTTAAAGCAATTTTTTCATTAAATTTTTTATTTTCTTTGAAAGCAAAACGTTTTAGCACGTTTATATACAAATTGAAAACACAAGCACATGTGCATGTATGTTTTATTAAATAAAATAAACTATTATTAAATATGTAATCAATATATATATGTGTGTTTGTTGCTGCATTCGATATATATACAATGTACATTAAACATTCTATATGTTGTTTTCCGTGTTTGCTGCATTTGAATTTCTCTCTTTTCGGCTGTCTTTACCTCTATCTCGAGCATTACCAAACCAAGCGGAAAGTGCTTCTTCAAGAAGCTTTTTTGATAAATTTTGTTTTGTTTCTTTTTGCTGCACCTAAACATACAACATTAGTTGAAATAAATTTCATTAGCTTCTAAATCAATACATACTTTTATACTTTTGTGGCAACCTTAAACCATGCTTTTCATTAATCTTATTAATTGTAATTTTTTTAGACGCTTAAATTCCTAAATATTTGCAAATATTGAAGATATAAAAAAAAAATTATCAATGACACAAGATAAGAGCCATCCATAAAAAACCTTTTTTAAGCATTTTTTTGACCCCCCCTTGTTCACCGGTTGTACTTTTTTCCTGTACCCCTACGCTTGAAAAGGACGTCACAAAATCGATACCGCCCCTATTATTTTAACCGAAAAAAAAATTATTTGATCTTACAATGATGCTTGACACTTGTCCTACACCTTTGAAAAACAAAATTAAAAATATTATCTTAAATTATCTTCATAAAAACACATATTTACATTTTTTCATGTTTATGTTACTGTTTTTCATGTTTATAAAATTGAAATAAAAAATCTATAAAGTGATGTACTTTTCTGACAACCTCCCTCCTCCGCCTTTGTGTCTTTTTAATCTTGACCCCTACCACCCTACTTAGATGACGTTCTTTATGGATGGTGCCCTAGGGTAAAAGTACTAATAATTTTTTTGCTATGAAAATAAAGAAATCAATACCATTAATTAAGAATTGCAATCCCACACTGCGAGATCTTGCATTATTTGAACACAGGGGAAACACTAGATCTACGCCACAGATTTCTGCTGGATCATCGCCAGTCACTGGTAAAATAAAAATGAATAACAATGCATTTATTCTTAATCTCTGCTCAATTGTCAACAGTATGTGGCTTATGTAATTTATGTAATATAATTTATATATGTCCACAATTTATACAATTTACAAACTATCAGAGATTAAAAATGCATGCACTGTATTCTATTTATATTTCCCACCAAATTGGCACGGATCCATAATTAATTTGTGGCGAGGAGCCATCAGTACTCTGAGCGGGACCTCGCATGCGCTGAAATAATGCGGGATCTCGAGGGCAGGATTGCAATTCCTACCATTAATTCAAGAAGAAAATAAAGAAAGTATAATATATATCATATTATGATATGATTTATATATATATATATATATATATATATATATATATATATATATATATATATATATATATATATATATATATATATATATATATATATATATATATATATATATATACATATAAATATATATATCATATATGATATATATTTCATATTATCATATAGTAACTATACCATACTTACAAAACATTATTTGAAATAGCTGCAATGGCTGAAATGGTTTTTTATTTTTCTGACCAGTTAGGTTATATTTTCGTGCCAGTTCATTAGAAAATAAAAATTTCATATTCCTTCTTACAAAATTTGTTATATTTATACCACCATTATTTACAAGGACCTGAACCTGGTGAAAAAAAAAAAAAAAAAAAAGTAAATTCAAAACTAGTTATTTTTTTATTATTTAGGGCAAATAGGGCAAAGTGACCTAACAATGGCCGGGTCTTGCATCCAATGACTGAGGAAAAACTTGCAAAGTATTCTATGCATCGATGGAGGGTTGGGGCAGGGTTAAGGTTAGAGTTATAATAAAATAAATAAATAATAAAGTTTCAATATATATATTTTTTATTAAATAAATAAAAATATGAAGTATTGTATAATAAAATTCAATAAAAACTAGCTGGGGGGACCCGTAAAATACGGGTCTTTACCGAACCGACCATTTTTATACTTATCTATAGCTATCCGGACGTAAACTAAGGGTCTTAGTAAATCTATTCCACACCGACCTTTTCTATACTTATTCCTTACCTCAATATTTTTTTAAAACCGTTTAAAAATGTACATATAAAAAACTATACTTACTTTTTGATATGACAAAAACATTTCTGTTTAAATGTTCTTTTAAAAACTTCAAACGATTTTAATATTATGCCGATTATAAAATTTTTTAATAAGAAAAAACGTAAAAAAGACTACGAACTTAGAAAAATGCTAAAACATTCAACACGTGACGCCGTTAAAGTACGCCTTAGTTAACGTTCATAACATATACACATCTAATTAGATTTTATTTAAATTCAGTTGTTGCAAACTTGGTTTTGAATTTATAATTACACTTCTTATGCGTCATAAATAATCTTAAATTCTAAATAGAAAATACGTTTATGGGCTAATTGGTAGACGAGCAACACTTAGACAGATATAGCCATCTCACCCCGGGAGTTCATACTCCAGTGACCTTTTTTTTTCATCCCAACTTACAACAAAAGTAATTAAAAATAAATGTTATTATTGAAACAGTTTTAAACATTTCTTCCTATTTATCTTTGAACTTAACTTTATTCACTGCAAACATACTTTTGGTGTTTGTAAGCGTTATTTTACGTTTAGTATTTGTAGGAATTATTTGCACGCACGTATTTTAAACAATTATTTTTACTGTTTCATCTAAAAATCTTATTTAATTTAGTTTAATAATTTCTTAAATATAATATATATAATATAATTTAAAATATTTTATTAACCCTATTTAAATAAGTATTAAAACTCTTTCCTTTAATTTAAAAAGAATTTAAAATTAACGTAGGCTATAACGATATTTTACCCTTTCATCAACATTTATTTAAAAAGTAAATTTGGATATAGAAAACCGGGTTAAAGACTTATTATTTTAAATAAGTTAGCTTTATCTATTTAATGCTTTTCGTAAAAGCGTTTCTTTAAAGACTCTTAACAAATCATTCAAGCTGTTTTTACTGCCTAAGTTATTAAACCTGTTGTGTGTGCCAAAAATCGATACTTAATGCAAATGGAAACTTCGAGTGCTAATGGTGATTAAAGCATAAATGGTTCCTATTCATATATAATAAAAGGAAATATAAAAGACAAAGCAAAAATGATTTTTATATCCATTTAAAACAATAAATCCCAAAATAAAAAAAATATATTTACTTAAAAACATATTTTTCTTGATATAAAATAAAAATATAACCTTTAGTACAAATTACAAAAAAAAAAAAAAATTCAACAGAGCTACTTATAATACAATTTAAATCGAATCATTGTTTCATAAATATTAAGCTTTAGGTAAGCCATAATCAAGTCAGCTATAAGAAACAGAACTAAAAATGGAACAAAGTTATTTAAACGCATAATCATACACATTAATTACAAATTAACATGTCATGCAATCAATACTTTTGAAAACTCAAAAATGCGAATAAGAAACTTACTTTTTTATTTTTACATAACCCTGACAGACCAACATGAATGTGAGCTAAATCTATTTGCATAAAACATCACAACAATTAATTAAATAGCAGAACCACCTTCAAAGGACAAAAAAATTAGATTTTTAAGGAAAATTAGAGTTATTGGGAGGGGAGGTATTAATAAATAAAAAAGCTCAACTTGAATTTCAAAATTAGTTCATAGTTTTGTTGAGGGTTATTGAGTTATTCTGAGTTTATTATACATATTTTAAACTACTAACATCACACTCTTATATTCTTAGTTCTGGAAGCTGCTACATAAAATTTGATTGTGTGAAAACCAAATCCCTTTGAGATTAACATTAACTTTATCAAATGTATGACCGTGACTTTTATTTCTAGTTAATGAGCATTGTTGATAAAGGTGTCTTTATTTAAATGATTTACTTTGATAACATTTAACATTCATGGGAAAAATTAAAAAACAACACAAAAATAAATTTACAAAAATATATTACAAAAAAAAAATTACAAAAAAAAAATGAAGTGGCTCAAAAGTTGTCAATTTCTTTACATTTTAAAATGTAAAAAAATTATTGACAACTTTTGAGCCACGTTGTCTTCTCCTCCCAGCATCCGCTCTATTCCCTGTGTTGTATGGGGTGCCATCCCTCCATCTAAAGGAGGGATGGTCGTTCCTATACAAACACCAGCGATGGAAGGCCCTCATAGATAGAGGGCCTGGATGCTGGGAGCGATACTTTCGGAAATCTTCCCATGACTTCGAGCCTGAAAAAAAAATTATATATAAATACAACTATCTACCTAGGTAATACTTACAAAAAATCTACTGTAAAAAAACAATAAAAGCAAATAATGTAATAAATTAAGTACAAGTGAGCACAACAACTTATTTATTTTACTCACTAATACTTGACTTATTACATTAACTAATAAAACTGGAAAGCACATTTGTAGCTATATTAAAAAACAAAAGGTACAATAAAAGCAATCAATCAATGTAATAAGTCAAGTAAAGGTGAATATATCAACTTACTTGTAACAGAAGAAGCAGCAGCTAGAGATAAATAAAAGAAAGTTAAAAATGCAATAAAACCAATTAATCCATAAATTAAGTCAAGTATAAGTGAATATAACAACTTACTTGTAACAGAAGAAGCAGCAGCTAGAGATAAATGAAAGAAAATTAAACATGCAATAAAAACAATCAAAAAAATTTTAAAAAAATTTTGATTTACAGCATGATTAACATGGCTTCCTGTCATTAAACCAGTCAACAATGGCGGATAAAGAGAAAGAGGAGCTAATACAACTTTTCCTGAATGGCAGCACAAAAAATGAGTTTCATTTAAAAACTTCTTTGCACTGCAATACTGACAATTATGGTTTAATTCTCCGAGGTAGTTACTCTCTATAGCAATATTATTTCTTGCTATGCGATGCATATTATACCTATTAAGTTCTCGCCTAGCCTGATTTCTTTCATTTTGATTACAATTTATCTCAGCTCGCCGGGGCTAATCTCTTTCAATTCGACGACGAATTATCTCAGCTCGCCGGGGCTCATCTCTTTCAATTCGACGACGATTTATCTCAGCTCGCCGGGGCTCATCTCTTTCAATTCGACGACGATTTATCTCAGCTCGCCGGGGCTCATCTCTTTCAATTCGACGACGATTTATCTCAGCTCGCCGGGGCTCATCTTTTTCAATTCGACGGCGGTTTATCTCAGCTCGCCTAGCCTGTCTAATAATTTCATTTCTTAAATTATTAGTCTAATAATTTCATTTCTTAAATTATTAGACATAATTAGGCATCAAAAGAGTGTGTAAAAATGATGCCTAATATAATAAAAGTTGAAGTTTCTTTTTTAAACTTATCTAAAATAAAGTGTAAGCAATTAATACAGAGCATAATACTATAATCTATTATATTCTATCATATATAGCATTGTGTTAAGATAACATAGTTTTATTAAAAACTTAAACTAAAATTATAAATTAATATAATATTTTCAACTAAGTATTGTTTATATATTTATGGTAGTTGTTATTAATTATTGACAAAATATTATAAGTATTTAATCAAAAAAAAAAAACAAAAAACAAATGTAATTTAAAAAACAAATTTTTTACATATAAGAACTCATAAATAAAGCAAATTAAAAAAATTTAAGGCCTGTCAACTCAGCAAGTACTGCTAGCATGGAAGGATAAAATGTAATCATCCATCAACAAAACCCTTTCATTACTTTGAAAGGCATTTAACGCAAGATTTGCAATAAATAAATACAAAACTACTAAAAGAACCTCTATAAACAATCATATATTTGCTTCAAGTGAAGAAACTTGGAAATATTGAAACTTCTTTTACTATTTTAATTTTTTTTTTAGATATTTAATATTCTAAAGAAAAAGGGACAATAATTTAAGGCAAAAAAATTAAAATGTCTATACATATAATATATGTATAGACATTTTAATTCTATATATTTTATTGTGTGTGTGTCTATATATATACATATATATATATATATATATATATATATATATATATATATATATATATATATATATATATATATATATATATATATATATATATATATATATATATATATATATATATATTGATGTACATACAAAACATTAAAATAATAATATAAAGAAAACATTCTCTATACAAAAAATCCTAAAAATTTAACAAAAGTTATTAAAACTTATGCTTCAACACGCTGTATACTTACTTTTATATATATAAAAAAAATTTGAGTTAAACATATTTAATGAAGAAAATCGAAACTCTTAAAAATTTTAATGAGGAGGAGCTGTTAGTAAAGCCTGCTTTTTAACAAAATTTATTTATTGTCAAAAGCATACATTGTTAAGAACAGAGGATAACATTAAAACACATTTTTTCAACAATATTTTTTCAACACATTTTAGAAATACACTAATTACAAACAGAATTAATTTATGTGTTTTATTATGATAATACACCACTCTGCTGGCGAGGACAATATTTTTGCTCTCAACAAAGCCAGGTCACATTATAGCAAAGTACACCACTTGGCTAGCAAGGTCAACAATCTTGCTGTAAACTAAGCCCAGTCACAACAATTTGAAACCATGCAAACAACATAATTATCACTTACAAACTATAAACATATTACATATAACACACCACAAACATTGAAACATTTCATATATTTACACACTTACAAAATATAAACCCATATAACCTTAACACATATATACACAATAAAACACAATATAAATAACACACATATATAGATAAATATATAAATTAAGAAAAATATATAAATTTGAAACTTTACAAATACAACCTTATTTTTGTTTTTTGAAATACCTCGTAATAAATGTTTAACAACTTTCAAAAACAAACTATCAAACAATCTGGTTTTTTATACGGATTTTTATAACTTCTTTTAAATAAGGTATTAAACGATCTTGTTCTTTAACATGTAACATTGAGTTGACCGTGTGAGATGCAAGTGTTTTAAACACTAACTTTATCAAGAGTTTGACCTCTTGACCTTTGAAATGAGCAACGTCTTCTTGAGTCATCTTTTAATTTAAAAATTACAGATTAATTTTATAAATTAATAAATTTAAATACAATTGACAAAAGACTAAAATGCATGATTTAAATAAATCACCTGACTTTAAAAGTTACTTTACTAATTTAATAATAACATAATGTTCATCCTTTACTACAGAAGTTATCAAATAAAAATTGTTGATCTTATCACTAATTAAGCTGATGAAACAAAGTTTTTGATCTCATTACTGATTAAGCAGATACTGACAGATTATTAAGATTTGAAAGAGCCTCATTGCGCGAGTTCAGAAGTAAAGCAATTTATAATAAAACTCAAAGGCCAAGTATGGTAAAAAAGTCCGTGTAAAGGTGCACGAATGGTGAGCAGCAGCAGCAGCGGCAGCGTTAAATTAAGTATTAATTATAAGCGATAATAAAAATCACTTCAAAAAGGATAATATATATCAAAATATTTAATTTAAAAATGTACATATAAAAAAAAAAAAAAAAGACATAATATAAACCTATACTTTATTTGGTATATATTCAATGCAGGAAAAACCTTAAATAATAAGTTTACCAATTTTTTTTTCACATCTTCATCTTTCAACCTATCTTCAAAAGCTTTGACATCTTCAGTTGTTTTAAGTGGTAAGTTTAATTCAATTTCATCCTCTGTAATGCCATGCGTTGAAATTAATTTGTTGCTGAATGCTGTGCAACATAGCTGAATGCAACTTTTGCGTCTCTCTTATTTCTTCTTGAGCTGCCAAAATTTTCAACAACAATTTTTCTGCTTATAATGTAAAAATGAAGCAATTATTAAAAACCAATATAAAAAAAAAAAATAATAATTCAAACAAAGTGGTATTCGATACTAGGGTGGAGCAATTTTCACAGCAAAAAAAAGAGTTTAAAAATAAACATTCCTGAGACGCGAATCGATCTTTATTAATTATAAGAAAAAAGTAAACAAATACTTTCCAATTATGACAAGATTTTAAGGTTCCTCCTTGGATTCTAAATTCTCGGAATTCGGGTCCTAATATTTTTGATTTTTTTTTCCATAAACCATAACTTTGTACTCAAAACAAAAAGAAAAATTATTGTGTTATAAATAATTATTTGGTTTAAAAAAAAAGAGTTCATAAAATATTTCCAAAATATACTTGAAACCCCATTTCGTTAAAGACGTTTTTTTTTTTGAAAAAGACAACACTATTTTTTATTCCTTTAGTTTTAAATAAAAACAAATGTCATTGTGTATACATTTATATGTATATAATATTGTATATATATTCAAAACCAGCAATTTCTTTTGAATACTAAGTTGATATAGTTTAGAAGAAAAAAAGAGGAATCTCAAAGTAACTTAACAAAGTAAAATAACAAAAATTTGCAGCAGTGTAGCGCAGTGGTTAGCGCGCTTGTCTCAGAGTTTAGAGATCCCAGGTTCAAAACCCACCTCTGGACAAGTTTTTTTACATCGGTTATAAAGGAGGCGTGAACTTTATTAAATGCTCTTCTCCGCTGTGCTCTGTGATAAGACCGTAAAGGACTTCTTAGGGCACCTAAAACAAATACTAAAAAAAAAGAAAAAAAGAACTAATTAAAATTACAAAAAAAGTAAGGTTCTTTTTTCACCAAAAGACATAGATTCTCAGCTCAGGCAAATCAAATTTCAAAAATTTTTAAAATCGCTTTACACTATTGGATACTATTTTGATTTACTTTTAATTGACATCATATTGTCATATACTTTTAAAAAATAAGTAGAAGGAAAAATGTTGGTGATGTATTTTGTTAATTTAGTGTCTTACCAGATGTAGTGTAACCAAACGTTTTTAACAATGGACTACTTGTGTTACCAGGAATACCAGACATATCTTTTGACTTTACAACACTTTCTGACTGTAAATCAAAAGTTTTATTTTGTCTGTGCTGAACTTCCTTTTCTTAAAAAAAATAATAAAGAACGATATTGAATGATAATATTAGTAGCAGTTTAAAATGTTACAACAATATAAACTTTACCTGACGATTCTGTGCATAGCACAGGAGTTAACAATCCACTGTTTTCAATCTCAAAATGACAAACCCCTAATAACCCAAAATCAATACTGTTATTTAATTTTTCATAGTCATTAGTATAGGTACAGTTTATTTCTTATTTATATGATTAACAATGTTAATCATATCAATGATAATCAATGAATGAAATCAGTTTTCGATTTACAAATATGGTTTATAAATAGTTAAATTTAATTATATGTTAAACATATAATTAAATTTAACTATTTATAAACCATATTTATAAATCAAAAACTGATTTCATTCATGCAATGATAAATTATTTTATTGAAAATTATCAAATTAAACCACTAATTTAAGAAGTAAAATTTGTTTCCTACCCGACTGTCTCTCTGGTATTACAGGCTTAGGAAGCTTTTCAGATATCTTTTTTTTCTTTCTTCTATAAATAAAAAAAATAAAAAAATAATTATTTAATTTAAAATAAAATAGGAAAGAACAAACAACAGACAAAAACAAACAAATAAATTTTGTGAAAAAAAGAAAAAGAAAAAACTACATGAAAAACAAACAGAACACCTATTGCTGTATTTACTTTCTGAATCAGTACTTTCAATTAAATCTTCTTTGCTGTTTACAATAAGAATAATGTTTAAAAAATATATAGAGATAAGTTAATATTAAATCAAATTTTTTAACAATAAAATTTAGAATAATAATTTAGTAAATCGAGCCATATAAAATAGCTTACACTTTTCTTTTTTGCTTAGTAAAGTTCTCTTCGACATTAGAAGTCTCTTCTGCAATTGTCACCTTTTCACAGGCTTCTTTCTCATTACCTACCATATACATTCCAAAAATAATATTATTGAACTTAGCTTATATACAAATTGAATTGTAGTTGGTATAATGTTGCATAAATTTCATTACTAAATCATATTTGTATTATAAACAGCAAAGTTTACCTGCAACTGCTAACAATCGAATAGAGTATGTTTTCCAATCTATTTCAGGTTCAGAGCACTGCTTTTGTGCTCTACTGACTTTGCCTGAATTTGA